AAAAAAAAATTCAGGTTTCTCTTGTAAATGAGGCTCAGTGGGATTAACCTGTCTAAATAAAGTTTGAATGAATTACTGACTGAATTATAGACATCTGTGTGTTTGCTTAGACACATTAGCTGTGGTGACCATCTTGAATCAGGCTGCCGATGTGCATCCAGTGTTTATTTTCTGACAGTTTAAGTCAAATCAGCTTAATGGTTTATGAGATATTTTGCTAACAGACAGTGCGTGTTGACTCCAGCAGTAAAGTCATTGTGATGATTGTGCACATGAAAAATAAACCTAATCTGAGCCCGAACCACGTTTTAAACAAAGATCTTGCACAATCTGCTCACATTATGACTCCAAGGAACTCTTTCATAGACAAATGAGCATGGAGTCAAAACTCTGTGATTTTTCTTGGCTCACATGTGCACGTTCTTGCTAACATGAATAAACTCAGCACCTCTTCCATGGTGGCATTCCAGAGAGAGGTCATCCGCTCGTCTGCTCCATACTTCTTCTTAATGCTTGCAGTGACTTTATTTTCCACATCATTTAAAAGCTGATTGGCCTGAAAAAACATATGAAAAACATATTTCATAGAAAGTTCAGCAGCTTTAAAAACATGTAAAATGGTGTTATGTTTCAGAGCTACTCACCACATCCTGGAAGATGAGCAGTATGACGGCTCCTGCAACCTCGGCGAGGAAAATAATCAGCACGATGCAGAAGAACTGAAGTAAGAAAATCACAAACCATAATGTAAAACATTTTAATATGCACAGGGTGTCACCAAAAAACAAGGAAACCTCTAAAGTGATCTCTAAAGAAGTTCAATCTGGTCCTCTGGACATTCAAAAAAACAAAACAAAGCAAATCAACAAAAAATGTAGAAACGTTTCGTCTCTCATCCGAGAGACTTCCTCAGTCTGAGGTGCTGTATTCAGCTCAGTCTCTTAAATAGCACCTTCTCAGAGTGGATCAACCAGTTTGCTGCTGACAACCAGAACCAGCTGATCACATGCTCAAGAAGGACCATCAGCCTAACAATGGATCATTAGCACCTGATGGCTGTTTACTGTTCACAGAGGGCTGAGTGATACTAGCAATCACAGCATTGTAAGAGGGGGACAGTTGAACCCGGAGGCTCCACCCCTGTTTAATGATGGACGGTTTCTTTTCACAAAGATGGCCTCCTTTACTCCTCTCTCAAACCATCGTTCCTCTCTGTCCAGGATGTGAACATCTTCATCCCTGAAAGAGTGACCGCTGGCCTGGAGATGAGTGTAGACCTCAGAGTCCTGGCCTGATGATGTTGATCTTCTGTGCTGGTCCATCCTTTTGGCCAGTGGCTCTTTTGTTTCCCTGATGTAAGACTGATCACCCTCCTGACACTGAACAACATACACAATATTACTCTGTTTGTGCCGGGGGACTGGATCTTTGGGATGAACCAGTCTTTAATGTATTTTGGGGTTTAAAAGCCACTGGGACGTTATGTTTAGAAAATAAACGTCTCAGTTTCTCTGATACTCCCTCAACATATGGAATGACCACTGGTCTGGGTCTGGGTTCCTCCTTTTCACCTGATGGCTGACTGGAGTCCTGTTTGGGTTTCTTCTTTCAGGAAGGCCCAGTTAGGATATCCACATTGCTCTAGAGCCTGTCTTGTGTGGGATTTCTCCTTCTGCCTGGCTCCTGAGCTAGTGGGGACGCTGTCTGCTCTGTGGTACAGAGTCCTGATGACTCCTAACTTGTGCTCCAAAGGGTGATGGGAGTCAAACTGCAAATACTGGTCTGTGTGTGTGGGTTTGCGGTACACCTCAGTTTACAAATGTCCTCTATCAGAGACTGAGACCTCACAGTCCAAGAAAGCCAACCTGCCATTTTTTACATCTTCTCGTGTGAACTTGATGTATTTATCCACAGAGTTGATGTGGTCAGTAAAATGTTGGACTTCCTGAGATTTAATTTTAACCCAGGTGTCGTCAACATACCTGAACCAATGACTTGGTGGTGTCCCTGAAAAGGACGTCAAGGCTCTCTTTTCTACCTCCTCCATGTACAGGTTGGCAACAATAGGAGAAACTGGAGACCCCATAGCACACCCATGTTTCTGCCTATAATAAAAATTGTTTTGCTTTTTTGAATGTCCAGAGGACCAGATTTAACTTCTTTAGATTTTTCTACCTGGATTATTGAGCATGCATCAGGATACCTAAAGTGATCTGTTAAAAAATAGATGTTCTCTGTCATGAGGAAAACCAATGTCACCCACCGTCAGCAGCATGCACCGGCTCTCCCTCACCGCCCCACAGCATCCCAGAAAGCCGAGGACCAAGAGCACGGCACCAACGCCGATGAGCAGATAGCTGATGTTCACCAGCTGGGACAACTCGTTGGGAGCATCTTCCACTTCTTCTAGTAAACCCAGAAGGGAGCCGCTGTCCACCTTCACCCATATTCCTACACCCAAGATGACCCCCCCTGCCAGCTGCAGCACCACAGAGCAACAGAAGAAAAGAAATCAGCGCATCATGGAGAAAATCTGTCTCTCACTGGGATACCAGAAGCAATATGTGATATACATATTTAGGGCTTCAAGTTCTGCATTAAAAGACTGGAGGTTAGTGGGAAAAGGCTGACATTTACTGGGACACAATATACAATAAACTGGGAGATATATATATATATATATATATATATATATATATATATATATACACCTACTCCCTGAAACACAATTATGGTCTTTTATATTTTTATATATTAAATAACAATATAATATTTAGATAATATAATAATATATGTATCATATGAGCTTTCTTTAAAGTGCCAATGAAACATTATCAATCAACCTTTATTTATACAGGTAAATCCCGTTGAGCCTCAAGGACTCATTTACAAGAGAGACCTGATTTCAACAAAGAAAGATAAGTTAAGTCATGTCCATTGGTCCTTTATTTACCTGGATTATTGAGCAGCATCAGAACATTAGAAAAGTTCATATTGAACCATACACAGAAAGCTAGGAACTACATGAGCCAACAAAAGTTTCTATCTGAGGTTTAAGTTTTCACTTTATTAAGCACAATGTTCTGTTCAACTTGTCCTGCGACCAACTTATAGGAAATATGGTCCAGTTTCTACTTCAGCTTGTGGGTTTGGATTGGAGGTCTAGATATAAGAGTCAATTTGTGCGTAAATTTATATTTTTCTTACCATGTAAGGTTGCACAGGAAATACCTAGCCACCCCGTCATTGACTGAATTCAGGTGTTTCAGAAAGATTTGACCTTAATTCTAGAGATGGGCAATCTTTCAACATTTTGGACAACGTTATGGTTCCAGCTCTGTGGCAACATTTTTTTCTATTCCAACATGACTGAACCCCAGTGGACAAAACAAGGACATGTAAGAAGTGGTTTGATGAGCTCCATGTGGACGAACTTGACTCACCTGACTTCAGTGCCAGTGAGCAACTTTCAGATGAACTGCAGCAACTTTCTACAGACTTACTACTAAATACTGACAAAGTCACTATAATGGGTGATTTTAATATTCATGGAGATGGTGAAAGTGATAGTTCAAGCATAGCCTTTAATAATTTAATAGAGTCAATTGGTTTAACCCAAAATATCAGCACATCTACTCATTCTTATCATCACAATCTTGATTTAGTTCTGACCTATGGCATAGAGATTAAGAACTTAAAAATAGTTCCTCAATGACTACACAGTCACTGAGAGTAAATTTCATCTCAGCAGGTGCTTATCAGAAAATGCTGTAACCAAATTGAAACAATCTCTTCCATCAATGTTTCCTCTGTCTTGCAGAGTAATGCATCAGAGAACAGAGACTTAGATCATCTAGTTGATCATCTTACAACTTCAATGCAAACTTCACTTGATAAAATATCTCCAGTGAAAAAGAAAGTAATCAATCAGAGGAAACTGGCTCCTTGGTTCAATTCTGAGTTACGTACTTTAAAGCAGCATCTAGAAACCAGGAGAGAAAATGGCGCTCTACTAATGTTGAAGAATTTTATTTAACTTGGAAAGATAGTCTGCTAACATATAAAAAAGCTCTCCGTAAAGCTAGAACTTTATATTACTCATCTTTAATAGAGGAGAATAAAAATAACCCTAGGTTTCTGTTTAGTACTATTGCTAGACTAATTAAAAGTCCCATTTCTGTTGAACCATGTATCCCTACAACTATAAGTAGTGATGACTTCATGAGATTCTTTATAAATAAAATTATTTCAATTAGAGAGAAAATTCAAACCATCCTTCCTTCTACTATCTCTAGTCCCCTGTCAAATGAGACAACTTTAAAAATTTCACTAGAGCCTGATTGATGTTTGGACAGTTTTTGTCCTGTTCAGCTCTGAATTGTCAAAAATAATAACCTCATCCAAACCATTCACATGCCTGCTAGATCCCATCCCAACCAGACTGTTTAAAGAGGTATTTCCACTAATTAATGTCCACATTTTGGATCTACTTAATTTGTCTTTAATGGATGGTTATGTACCACAGAGCTTTAAGGTTGCTGTAATTAAACATTTACTTAAAAAGTCTGACCTTGATTCAGAAATTCTGGCCAACTATAGATCTATATCTAATCTAACTTTCATCTCAAAAACTCTAGAGAAAATAGTTGCAGGTCAGTTGTGTGAACATATACAAATAAATAATCTGTTTGAAGAGTTTCAGTCAGGGTTTAGAGCTCATCATAGCACAGAAACAGCACTAGTAAAAGTCACTAATGATATTCTCATGGCCTCAGACAATGGACTTGTGTCTCTTCTGGTCCTATTAGACCTCAGTGCTGCATTTGATACAGTTGATCACAATATTTTACTACAGAGGCTTGAATATGATGTTGGGATTACAGGAACAGCTCTAAAATGGTTTAAATCATATCTATCTGATAGATTCCAGTTTGTAAATGTAAATAATGAATCTTCTTCATACACCAAAGTTAGTCATGGAGTTCTTCAGGGCTCAGTGCTTGGGGCAATACTCTTTACTTTATATATGCTTCCATTATGTAAAGTTATTAAACAGCATGGGATGAATGTTCATTGTTATGCTGATGACACACAATTATATTTGTCCATTAAACCCAATGAATCCAATCAGCTACTTAGACTACAAGCATGTCTTAAAGACATAAAAACCTGGATGACCCTTAATTTTCTCCTGTTGAACAGACAAGACTGAGGTTTTGGTTTTTGGACCTGAGCACCTTAGGAATGAATGTTTCAGTCTTTCTCCCTCCTTAGATGCATTAATCTGTCCTCCAGCTCTAATGTTAAAAATCTTGGTGTTATTTTTGATCAGGACATGTCTTTTATCCCCCACATTAAAAACGTTACTAGACCCTCCTTCTTCCACCTGCGTAATATCACTAACATTAGAAACATCTGATCTAAAGATGATGCAGAAAAACTGGTCCATGCATTTGTCACGTCTAGACTGGACTATTGCAATGGTTTATTATCTGGGTGTCCAAATACTTCTTTAAAACGTCTTCAGTTGATCCAAAATGCTGCTGCCAGAGTCTTAACTGGAGTTACTGGGAGAGATCATATCTCTCCAGTTTTAGCTTCTCTCCATTGGCTCCCTGTCAAATCCAGAATAGAATTCAAAATCTTACTTCTAACCTACAAAGCTCTCAACAACCTAGCTCCATCTTATATTACAGATCTTATTGTTCCATATTTTCCTAATAGAGCACTTCACTCTCAAACTGCAGGTTTACTTGTGGTTCCTAGAATTTACAAAAACAGAATGGAAGGCAGATCTTCCAGTTCTCAGGCTCCTCTCTTGTGGAACTAACTTCCAGTTTCTGTCCATGAGGCTGACACATTATCCAGTTTTAAAACTGGGATTAAGACTTTCCTTTTTGATAAATCCTATAGTTAGGGTTGGCTTGGGTTTCCTGAGCTGTCCCTTAGTTATGCTGCTATAGGCTTAGACTGCTGGAGGACAAACTGACCACAATTTTCACTCTGCTACTGTCTTTACTTACTCTGATCAGCATATTTTTTCTATCCTTAACATGTGTTTTTTTGTCTTTCAGGTACAACTGGACCTATACCTGGACCTATACCTGGACCTGGACCTATACCTGGACCTGGACCTATACCTGGACCTACCATTCTGTGTTCGTCTGTCTCTCCTTCCTGTCCTCTCAACCAGCCGGTCAAAGCAGATGGTCTCTTGTCCTGAGCTGGTTCTGCTGGAGGTTTCTTCCTGTTAAAGGGAGTTTTTCTTTCCACTGTCTCCACTGTGCTTGCTCAGGATGGGAGACTGCAACGAAGCCAAGATTCAACTTGTCTGCTGGATTCCTTAGATAGAGAACTTTACTAACTGGCTTTTATGTGAATGTTCCTGTAAAGTCCCTGAGACAACGTTGTTGTGATTTGGCGCTATAGAAATAAACTGAATTGAGTTTAATCTTTCCACTGGCTCTCAGTTCAGTTTAGGATACAGTTCAAGCTGCAGCTTTTTGTTTTTAAAGCTTTGAATGGCCTTGTACCGCCCTATATTTCAGAACTTTTGAAAGTCCACCAACCCAGCAGAGTTTTACGGACTGCTGGTCAATATATGCTGGAAGTGCCTTGCTCAAGGTGCAAACAATGGAGAGGCCGGTCCTTTTCTGTTGCTGGCCCAACAACCTGGAATACTCTTCCCCATGAGCTGTGTGCCATCTCTGATCAGGTTCTGTTCAAAGCCAAACTGAAGACTTGTTTATTTAAAAGGACTTTTAATGTTTAACTTTTATTATTTTAGTATTTAGCGTTTTTTTTTTTTTTAATCTCTTTTACGTTCTTTTAATCTGGTTGTGTTTTTAATTTGCACTGATATATTGTACCCTGTTTTTATTTGTTTTATATTGTAAAGCACCTTGGTCAATGCAAGGCGTTGTTGGGAGATGGTGCTATAGAAATAAAGTTTATTATTATTATTATTAGGGCAGCACGGTGGCGAGCAGGTCCCTGGTTCAAACCCCGGTCCAGGGGCCTTTCTGGGTGGAGTTTGCATGTTCTCTCCGTGCATGCGTGGGTTTTCTCCAGGTGCTCCGGTTTCCTCCCACAGTCCAAAAACATGCATGTTAGGCTGATTGGTAACTCTAAATTGTCCCTAGGTGTGAGTGAGAGAGTGAATGTTTGTTTGTCTCGTTTGTCTCTGTGTGTCCCTGTGATGGACTGGAGACCTGTCCAGGGTGTACCCCGCCCCTCGCACAGTGATTGCTGGACATGGGCACCAGCGACCCCCGTGACCCAAAAATGGAATAAGCGGGTAAAGATAATGGATGGATGGATGGATGGATTATTATTATTATTTTTATTATTAATCAGCCATTTGTGTTTCATTTCCAATCTTACATTGAAAATCCGCGAAAGAGCAAGTCCGTGAAAGTGAAACTGCGAAGTAGCAAGAGAATACTGTATATAGCTGCAGAGATAAGTAGCCTCTGGAAA